CACAACTGTGTGGAAATCGAACAAGCTGCTCCTGAATGATTCTAAATAATGAAATTAAGGCAGAAAACAAGAAGTTATTTGAAATTAGAACCAGGAGACAACATACCAGAATCTATGGGATGTAGCTAAAGCAGTGTTAAGAGGGAAATTTATAGCACTAAATGACTATATCAAAAAAACTAGAAAGATCTCACATTAACATCCTAACATCACAACTAAAAGAACTAGAGAACTAAGAGCAAACAGATCTCAAAGCTAGCAGAAGACAAGAAATAATTAAGATCAAAGTGAAATTGAAGGAAATAGAGACATGAAAAACCCTTAAAAAATCAGCAAATCCAGGAGCTGGGTTTTTTGAAAACATTAATAAAATAGATAGGTCACTAACTAGATTAATAAAGAAGAAAAGAGAGAAAAATCAAATAGACATAACAAAAAATGATAAAGGGGAGATCACCACTGACCCCACAGAAATACAAGCAACCATCAGAGAATACTATAAACACCTCTATGCAAATATATTAGGAAATTTAAAGAAATGGATAAATTCCTGGACACATCCTCCCAACACTAAACCAGAAGAAGTTGAATCCCTGAATACAACAATAACAAATTCTGAAATTGCAGCAATAATAAATAGCCTACCAACCAAAAAAAGTTCAGGACCAAATGGATTCATGGCTAAATTCTACCAGAGGTACAAAAAGGAGCTGGTACCATTTCTTCTGAAACTATTCTGAACAATTGAAAAGGAGGGACTCCTCTCTAACTCACTTTATGGGGCCAGCATCATCCTGACACCAAAACCTGGCAGAGATACAACCAAAAATAGAAAACTTCAAGCCAATATCCCTGATGAACATTGATGCAAAAATCCTTAATAAAGTACTGGCAAACTGAATCCAGCAGCACATCAAAAAGCTTATCCACCATGATCAAGTCAGCTTTATCCCTGGGATGCAAGGCTGGTTCAACATATGCAAATGAACAAACTTAATTTATCATATAATTATAATTGAAGACAAAAATCACATTATTATCTCAATAGATGCAGAAAAGTCCTTCGATAAAAATGAACATCCCCTCATGTTAAAAACTCAATATACTAGGTATTGAAGGAACATGTCTCAAACTAATAAGAGCCATTTATGACAAACCCACAGTGAATATTATACTGAATGGGAAAAAGCTGGAAGCAGTCCTCTTGAAAACTGACACTAGACAAAAAGACCTCTCTCATCCCTTCTATTCAACATAGTATTGGAAGTTATGGTCGGGGAAATCAGTCAAGAGAAAGAAATAAAGGATATTCAAATAGGAAAAGAGAATGTTAAATTATCCTTGTTTTCAGATAACATGATTCTATATCTAGAAAACCCCATTGTCTCAGCCCAAAAAGCTTCTTAAGCTGATATGCAAATTTAGCAAAGTCTCAGGATACACAATCAATGTGCAAAAATCACAGCATTATGTTCTTACTCATTAGTAGGAGCTGAACAATGAGAACATATGGACACAGGGAGGGGATTAACATACATTGGGGCCTGTTGGTGGAGGCAGGGGGAGGGAAAGCATCAGGACAAATAGCTAACGTACGCTGGGCTTAATATTTAAGTGATGGTTTGATATGTGCAGCAAAACACCATGACATACATTTACCTATGTAAAAAACCTGTACATCCTGCACATGCACCCCAGAACTTAAAACTTAAAAAAAAAAAAACACAAGCATTCCTATACACCAACAATAGACAAGCAGAGAGCCAAATCATGAATGAACTCCCATTCGCAATTGATACAAAGAGAATGAAATACCTAGGAATACAACTAATAAGGGAAGTGAACGACCTCTTCAAGGAGAACTATAAAACACTGCTCAAGGAAATCAGAGAGGATGCAAACAAATGGAAAAACATTTCATGCTTATGGATAGGAAGACTCAATATTGTGAAAATGGCCATACTGCCAAAGTAATTTATGGATTCGATGCTAGTCCCATCAAGCTACCATTGACATTCTTCTCAGAATTAGGAAAAACTATTTTAAAAGTCATGTGGAACCAAAAAAGAGCCCCTATAGCCAAGGCAATCCTAAGCAAAAAGAACAAAGCTGGAGGCATCATGCTATCCAACTTCAAACTATACTAAAAGACTGCAGTAACCAAAACAGCATGGTACTGGTACAATAACAGACAGACCAATGGAACATAATAGAGAACTCAAAAATAATACCGCATATCTACAATCATCTGATCTTCAACAAACCTGACAAAAGCAGTGGGGAAAGGATTCCCTATTTAATAAATGGTGTTGGGAGAGCTGGCTAGCCATATGCAGAATACAGAAAATGTACACCTTCCTTATACCTTATACAAAAATTAACTCAAGATGGATTAAAGACTTAAATGTAAAACCCCAAACTATAAAAACTCTAGAGGAAAATCTAGACAATACCATTCAGGACATAGGCACGGGCAAAGATTTCATGATGAAAACACCAAGAGCAATTGCAACAAAAGCAAAAATTGACAAATGAGATATAATTAAATTAAGGAACTTCTTCACACCAAAAGAAACTGTCATCAGAGTGAACAGACAACCTACAGAATGGGAGAAAAGTTTTGTGATGGGTTGATACGTGCAGCAAACCACCATGGCATACATTTACCCATGTAACAAACCTGCACATCCTACACATGTACCCCAGAATTTAAAATTAAAAACATAAGATGAGAAAGAGACAAGCAGCAGACAATTCATTAACTGTATTTATTCAGTATAGTTTGTTCTCCTTTTCTCTTGCCTCACTCTGAAATTTGCAGAAACCCTGGATATGGATTAGACTTTTCCAGGCATAGAATCAGGATTCTAGAAAATCAGATCTATATCTTAAAAAGAAGACGACCTCAACTGACATTCAGGTTACTGCTGTTATAGTGTGTTGTACAAAACTTTCTGAAATGGATGCAATTTAATTACAGAAATTACACAATCTAGTGGGTTGAATGGTGCTTACCCTCATCCCTTCTTAAAAGAAAAAAAAAAAATTGTCTACTTGGAACCTGTGAATGTGACCTTACTTGAAAAAAAGCGTCTTTGCAGATGTCATTAAGTTAGGCATCTTGAGATGAGATCATCCTGGATTATGTTGCCCTAAATCCAATTGCAAGTGTTCTTATATAAAAAGAGAAGGATAGAGGACACAGAAAAAAAGACTGTGTGAAGATAAAAGCAGAAATTGGAGTTATACTGTCATAGGCTGGGGTTATCTGGAGCCACAGAAGCTGGCAGAGGCAAGGAAGGATGATCTCTTATTGCTTTAGAGGGATCGTGGCCTTACCAACACCTTGATTTCAAGGTCTCCAGAACAACGGGAGTATACATTTCTACTGTTTTGAGCTGCCTAGTTTGTGGTAATTTGTTAGGGCAGCCCTAGGAAACTAATACAGATAGTAACCCACCAGCCAAATCCAAGTTCTATCCTATAGTGCTCTTCTCTTTATCAATCTTGCTTAATTTTACTTTAGGGAGTCAAGAACTAAAGAACATCTTCAATAGGGTTATACAATTGAAAATTCTTTGAGGGAAGTCCTCACCAGAGCAACCAGGCAGGAGAAAAACACAAGAGGCATCCAAATTGGAAAAGAGGAAATCAAATTATCCCTGTTTGTTGATGATGTAATCTTACGCCTAGAAAACGCTAAAGACTCCACCAAAAACCTCTTAGATTTGTATAGAAATCAACAGCATTTCTATACACCAAAAATCTAGCTGAGGATCAAATCAAGAAGGCAATTCCATTTACAATAGCAACCAGAAAATAAAATACATAAAAATAAGTTTAACCTAGGAGGTGAAAGATCTCTACAAGGAGAACTACAAAACACTGATGAAAGAAATCATAGATGACACAAACAAATAGAAAAACATTTCATGCTCATGGATTGGAAGAATCGATGTTATTAAAATAAACATACTCCAGCCTGGGCAACATGGTAAGACCCCTGTATCTACAAAAAATACAAAAAACTTAGCCAGGTGTTGTGGTGCACACCTGTAGTTCCAGCTACTTGGGAGGTTAAGGTGGGAGAATTGTTTGAGCCCAGGAGGCAGAGGCTGTAGTGAGCCAAGATCACGCCACTGCACTCCAGCCTGGGTGACAGAGTGAGATCCTGTCTCAAAAAAAAAAAAAAAAAAAAAAAAAAAAGACAAACATACTGCCTAAAGTAATCTACCATCATTTTTTCACAGAATTAGAGAAAACAACCCTAAAATTCATATAGAATTAAAAAAAAGTCTGAATAGCCAAAGCGATTCCAAGCAAAAAGAACAAAGTTTAAGGTATCACATTTCCTGACTTCAAATTATACTACAATGCTATAGTAATCAAAACAGCATGGTACTGGTATAAAAATAGACAAATAGATCAATGGGAACCCAGAAATAAAGCCACATACCTATAACCCAACTGATCTTTGATAAAGTCAACAAAAATATACACTGGAAAAAGAACACTTTATTCAATAACTGGTGCTGGGAAAATTGGGTTGCCATATGCAAAAGAATGAAACTGGACCTATACCTCTTACTATATACAATAATTAAGATGGAGTAAACACTTAAATATAAGACCTGAAAATATAAAAAAAACTAGAAGAAACCCTAGAAAAAACCCTTCTGGACATTGACCTAGACAAAGAATTTATGATTAAGTCTTCAAAGATAAATGCAGCAAAACCAAAAATAGACAAATGAGATGTAATTAAAATGTTTATGGACAGCAAAAGAAATAGTCAACAGAATAAACAACCTGCAGAATGGGAAAAAAATATTTGCAAACTATGCATCTGACATAGGGCTAAAGTCCAGAATCTACAAAGAACTTAAACAACTCAGGAAGGAAAAAACCAAACCAAACTAAACCAAATAACCCCATTAAAAAGCAGGCAAAGGACATAAATAGACATTTTTGAAAACAAGACATCCAAGTGGCCAAGAAACATGAAAAAAAATGCTTAACATCAGTAATCTTCAGAGAAATGCAAATTAAAACCACAGTAAGATGCTATCTTACACCAGTCTGGATGGCTTTTGTCAAAAGTTCAAAAAATAACAGATGTTGGTAAGGATGCAGAATAAAGAGAATGCTTATACACTGTTATGGGGATTGTAAATGAGTATAATCTTTACAGCAAACAATATGGAGATTTCTTAAATAACTAAAAATAAAACTACCATTAGATTCAGCAATCCTACTACTGAGTGTCTACCCAAAGGGAAAACATCATCATATCAAAAAGATATCTGCACTTGTATGTTAATTGCATCACTATTCACAGGAATGAAGATATGGAATCAACCTAAGTGTCCATCAGTGAGGGATAGTATAAATTTCATACGTGGTGTATTTATGCCATGGAATGCTGCTCAGCTTTTAAAAAGAATGAAATCATGTCTTTTGCAGCAACATGGATGGAACTAGAGGCTACTATTCTAAGTGAAATAACTAAAAAACAGAAAGTCAAATAGTAGGAGGTAAACAGTGGGTACACAGGGACATCCAGAGAGGAATAGTGGACATTGGACACTACAAAAGATGGAAAGGTGGGCAGGGGGTAAGGTTGAAAAATTGCCTGTTGGGCACAAGGTACACTATTTGGGCAAGGGGCACACTAGAAACCCAGAATTTACCACTACATAATATATTCATGTAAGAAATCTACACTTGTACCCCTAAATCTATAAAGAAATTTTTGGCTGGCATGTTGGCTCACCCCTGTAATTCCAGCACTTTGGGAGGCCGAGGTTGGCAGATCACCCAAGTTCAGGAGTTTGAGATGAGCCTGACCAACATGGAGAAACCCTGTCTCTACTAAAAATACAAAATTAGCCAGGCATGGTGGCACATGTCTATAATCCCAGCTACTGAGGAGGCTGAGGCAGGAGAATCGCTGAACCAGGGAGGTGGAGGTTGCGGTGAGCTGAGATTGAGCCATTGCACTCCAGCCTGGGCAGCAACAGTGAACCTCCGTCTCAAAAAAAAAAAAAAAAAAAATTAAATTTTGGGGCCATTTTGCAGGATTTCTTTTCTTGTTTTTAAAGCAGTGAATCCAGGGATGACAGTGTTGCTGCTGCCTTTGTTATTCCATAAGTAGCATGTTAGAGAGTTCATTGTGCATCTTTTGGGTACATTTGCGATTGGGATCTTGTTCTTCAAAAATCACTGGGCAAGGATATTTATACACAGTTGATGACAAGTGCTGGAAGTAGTAATGTGAGTTTAATCTGTCAAGCCCTGGAAGTGAAGATGCCCCCTGGAATAGCATTGTCAAGCCCTGCCCTGCTCGCCCTCATTGTCTTGTGGGAGGGAGCCCGTGCAGATCAGTTGTGGCCTCCATGACCACTAAGCCTCAAGTTCCCTCTTAGTGGAGAGGGGCTTTTATGAAGACTTGGACGTAGTCCTTGTTTGTTGTATATTTTTCTATGAAATGAAAACAGCAGAGGCCTTGCCAGGCGTAAGGAGGCAAAAAAAATCTCTCCCTTGTAATGTAGGCATTTGCTGCCGGGAGTGTCCCGTGCTGCTGAGCAATTCTAAAGAAACATTGGGGAAAGTTAATAAACAACAAAGAAACATAAGGAGGGAAGTTTGGGAGGCAAAGGTACAGAATAAGGATGAACATGAACATTACTAAGTACTGAACCAACGTACAAATGTGAAAATGACTTTATAAAAAGACATCCTTGTGTTGATGGGAAGCTGAAGTGTCAGTGATACAGACTGCATGGATGGTCATTTCTCTGATGCCTGACATGGCAATATCTTCTGTAGCTTCTAAATCTAAAAGGAGGCACTTGCATGAATGAAAGAGATTGTATTAAAGACATAAGCCATGTTCATATTCTCTGTTGCTGTTTGGGCTCCTGAGACCGTTTTTTTTTTCCTTTTTGCCTATTTCTAGATTTTTGGCAAAGTTCCATCTGGGAGAGATTGCCCACAAAGAAAGACATTAGTTACTCTGACACCTAACACTCCAAGAAACGAAGCAGAACAGCCCAGAGTGTGTCAGGCTACGGAGTCAGAACTTTGCCAAGCTCTTAATTAGAGTCAGAGTAACCTTAGCCATTTCCCATCTATGTCTCTTTTGAACCAGAGCTACTAACTTGTGTTTTTTTCCCAAAAGGATTTAACACTTACATTATCCGGGAATTATCCAGGAAACTGCTAATTTTATTTGTCCTTTGCCTGTTGTTTTAGGTTAAATCTATAAAGATAAATTATTAAGGCTATAACCCTAAGCCCACCAATTTTCCCAGGCTTCATTGTAAATAGCGTTATAGTAAAATCCTATTTAAGCAGCTCCTAAATAATCAGAAGCCTACATTAATCTGCAGTGTTTTTACTACGTTTCATTGTTTTGTCAGGGAGTGGGGCAGGGTAATGGAATCAATTAAACAATTTCATCACAAGGTGTTAAAAAGGCGTAAAACACCTTTCAGGATATGCCTTTCACATTTTCTTCATGTACAGATGATAAAATTACTCTCAGAATCATTGAGAATTGGGGCTAAAAAAGGCCTTGGTAAATGTCGTCCAAGAACTACCTAAAGTCCAACCGCCTTTTTGAATAAATGAGGATACAGGGAGCCAGATGTAATTTGTAATGTCTAAAATCTCGAGCTCATCAGGGCTGAGCTGGACCTAGAACACAGACCTCTTCATTTCTAAACTGACTGTTTCATTCGGTGTAATGGCCTGAAGCAATTTCCAGATTATCATTTGCCAAATAAAATTTGCACTTCCTTATACTTAGTAAAGCAAGAAAATTAATACATTTTTGAAAGGACAGTGAAAACAGAAAGAGTGCTGCTCAATCTTGCATTAAAGAGAACTGTCACTCAGAATATGCTAAAGCTACTGTTTTTTGCTCTCTAAAATCTGCTATTTGTGTTCCATTTTTTTTTTTTTTTTTTTTTTTAAACTAGAGACAGTAGAGTTCAGGATCCTGTTTTCACATGCAGAATAAGTTTCCAAATAACTTACCGGGTAATTTAGGACTGATATGCTCATTGGATGAAATATAAAGAAAATGTAAAGATAGCATATTTTCAGGACAGGATTAATCTGAGGATTAATCTGCTGCTCTGGGGGCCTGTTCCTATATCCTTATTCTAATAGCCATTTTACCAGCCCTTTTCTCCTCCTCCATTATTCTTGTCCCATTGGCTCTCCCTCTTATAAGCTATGTTTCTTTGGACAAGTAACTTACACTCTCTGTGTATCAGTTTCCTCATCTGTAAAGGTAATGATACTCTGCATCTAATAGGGTTGCTATCCTTTGTAGGGATGATTAAATGGATAATTTATTGTGTGTTATGTTGTATTAGTCCATTTTCATACTGCTATAAAGAAATACCTGAGACTGGGTAATTTATAAAGAAAAAGACGTTTAATGGACTTACAGTTCCACAGGGCTGGGAGAGGCCCCACAATCATGGGAGAAAGCAAAGGAGGACCAAAGGCACATCTTACATGGTAGTAGGCAAGAGATCATGTGCAGGGGAACTGCCCTTTAATAGGACCATCAAATCTCATGAGACTTATTCACTATCACAAAAACAGCATGGGAAAAGCCAACCTCCATGATTCAATTCCCTCCCACTGGGTCTCTCCCATGACACATGGGGATTATGAGAGCTATAATTCAAGATGAGATTTGGGATGGAATTAAGTTTGTTGCATATATATAAGACAAAATAACGGTGGCTCAAACAAAGTAGAAATGTTTTTATTATTTGAATTATGAAAAGTTTGATGGCAGGCACCCAGGGCTGGTGTGGCAGCTTTAACAGGATTGCAATGTCTGTGTTTCTCCTCTGCCGTCCCTGTACAAGCAAAGCCTGCCCATCCCTTACCTGTGACCCTCCCTTTCCTCTGGTGGTCACATCCTCTGCAGCCCCCCCACCATTCCTGGGCCACAGCTGACTTCCCAGTGCTTCTCAGCCAAGCTTTGTTTTGCCTGGGGAGTTTCTTTTCACTATCAACTTGGGAACATCCATTTAGAAAAAAGGAGAATATAATCTACATGTAGGCGTTGATGGTGACTAGACCATCTTTAAGAAATTAACCTCCTGACACAAGAACAGAAAACCAAACACCACATGCTCTCACTCATAGGCAGGCTTTGAACAATGAGAACATGTGGACTCAGGGAGAGGAGCATCACACACTGGGGGCAGTTGGGAGGGGCTGGGGGAGGGACAGCAGGGAGTGGGGAGGGATAATATGGGGAGAAATGCCAGATATAGTCAAAGGGGGAATAGAGGCAGCAAACCACCTGGTTATGTATGCACCTATGCAACAACCCTGCATGACCTGTGCATGTACCCCAGAACCTAAAGTAAAATAAAATGAAAAAAAAAAAAAAAAAAAAAAGAAATTAACCTCCCATGCTTGCCTTCATCTCTCCTTTGCTTCCTCTGCTTTCTTCCCCCAGCTTCTCTTTGTTTTGCTATTAACTTTTACCCTGTTATAATTTGTAGCATTTATATCTTATTCTGTCACCAGACTTATCTTTAATAGTTTATTCATGACGCATGTTAATAGGAGATAAACATTGTTGATGGTTAATTTTGGACGTATTTTTTTTTTTTTTAGTCAGATTCTCAGCTGTCATCTTGGACTTATTTTTGCATTGATTCCCTGAGTTTTTCACTGTTTTTTGACTCTCATGTCTTTACCTTTTTTAGATTCTTTCTGCATTGCTGGAGCTTATCCTTATTGTTTTCAGAAAGTAGGCATGAGATCATTTGCATCATTGTGTACATAAACATGTCGGTATTTTGTCCTCAAAATCACTAGTCTGAATTTCATAGAATTCTAAATTCAAAATAGTTTTCCTTCAGACTTTTGAAAGCATGGCTCTGTTGACTTTTAGAATCAAGTTCTTCTGACATACAAAGCCGATCTGATTTGCGTTCCCTTTTTATGGGACATACTATACTTTGGCTTTTATCTTGGTATTTGACCCAATTTTGCCATTAGGTTTTGGTTTCAGCCACTGTAAGTCAAAATAAGTGAGACTTCGTCGTGATTTCTGGCATCCCTGAACTTGTGCATGTTCGATTATGTGCTTGAATAAGTTTTAATATAAAATGGGTCCAATAATGGTATTAGAAGCAAGGCATATTGTTCAGATTATTGTTAATATCTAGATCCTTACTTTCAAATATAGCTAAGCATCTTGGGTATAACTTTTAGTAAGAAAAAAAATTCTTTACCTTCTGAAATTCTATTATAGTATAAATGTGCAAATATTTTAAGACTAACATGGCACACTAACAATTGATAGTGATTGTCAGAATACCAGTTTTATGGATTAAAAATAATTATTAAGAACTTTAAAATACTGAAACAAGAAACTCAGTTGAGAGTTAATATGACTATTAGAGATGCTGTTTCAGCTAGGAAATCCCCAGTTCTTTCTTCTCAACTCAGGCAGATCTTTGGTTTGCCCTGCCTGGCTTCCCATTTCCTGAGCCATGTCTGGGAAGCTCTCCCAAATTGTAAGCTTAGAGGATTGCGGCCTCACCTTGTTTGTTTCCCATTTCTCAAAGGTCATTGTCCTTTGTTCCTTGATGTCCAATGTCTTAAAAAAAAAAAGTTTCATTTGTTTTGTCTGGTGTTTTAGGTTCTCATGCAGTAGGATAAATATGGTCTCTGTTATTCCATCTTGACTAGCAGTCCTATAAATTTAAGCATTTATAGGAAGGAAATCTCCTAAATAAAGTAGAATAGCATTCATGGCAAATTAACTTTAAGATCTGGACCTAATACAGTAGAAAAAAATGTAATAAAAAAAATGAGGAATTCGAAACAAATTAGTTCTCGCTAAACTGCAAAACTACATTACAGAATGATTTCAGAAGCAGTTTTCTATTATTTTGAATCTATGGAAACTGTTATAGGTTTAATTGTGTCCCCAAAAAAGATACTTTGAAGTCCTAACCCTCAGTGCCTCAGAATGTGACCTTATTTGGATGTCACGTCTTGGCAGTTGGAAGAAGTGAAGGTGAGGTCATACTGCAGTAGGGTGAGCCCTTTATATGGTATGACTTGGTGTCCTTAGACGAAGACAATGTGAAGTCACAGACACATGGAGGGGAGAATGCCATGTGATGACAGAGGCAGCGGTTGGAGTGACACAGCTGCAAGTCAAAAAACGCCAAGGCTTGGCAGCAGCCACCAGCAGCTGGGAAGAGGCAAGGATGGATCCTCCCCAGACTCAGAGACAGTGGGGCCCTTTTGCTGTCTTATATCAGGCTTCTGGCTGCCAGAGCCAGGAGAGACTACATTTGTGTTGACTGAAGCCATCTAGCTTATGATACTTTGTTATGGCAGCCCTGGTCTCATTCAGAAATTATATATTTTTTAAAGTTATTAAAATGATTCTTATAGTTTGCTAACCATTTTTGGTTTTCGAAGCTGGAGAATTGAACAGTAGTACATTCTAGGTAGAAGGCTTCTTCTAGCAAACATGCTACTCAAAATATTTTTCTGAACTATATATCTTCGCATATAAAAAGATTAGTGATATTATTAAAAGTGCCAGTTGAAGTTAGTGTCTATTTAATATCCCAAATGGTGCAGTGACAGCAGGAGAAAGTTAGCAGCTGAGCGTTCTAAAAAAAAATTGTCTGTCTTGCCCTATTAAAATTTGACTAACACTAAATTTGAAAATTAATCAATTTTGAATAAAATTTTAGATTTGTTCTTGTAAACCTGAAGTTTATTCTATTATGATGATTTTTAGCTTTGGCTGGGTATTGGTTTTTATTTTTGGTCGTTTTTTTTTTTTTTTTTTTGACCGATATGTGCATTCAGAGTACCTCTACCTTGAAGATAGGGGTACTTTTATCTCTACATCTGTATAGAAGTTTTTTGGCGCCTCCTATCTGGTCTACATCATTGGGCATCTTATTGTCTGGCTTCTGGTTGGGCAGTGGGGAACAAAGGCAAGCCAACAGATGGTTGAGGTATTTTCCTTTAGTTCTCTTCCTGTAGACTTTTCTTGGACTGGCTGAGGATTGATCAAACATCACTGCTCCTCTCAACGTGACCTTCTCATCATGATTCTCTAATTCCAAGTTGTGGAAATCCAGGAATTGGAAGCCCATCCCTTTGGTTGCTTCCAGCCGTGTGTGGTGACAGCTCCGCTGCTACTTGTCCTAGAGAACTGCAATGTCCCTTCTAGTTTTCCATAGCCTTTTTTCCACAGTCCCTTTAAAAGCTCTTCTGGAATAATCTTAATTTTATTTTTCCATCTATTCCTATTAGGACTATGACTGGTACAGATCAGTTGGTAAAGCTCACTCTCAGTGTTGCAAAATGGTATAGCCCTGTGGAACCAAAGACCATAATAGAATAAGGTAGGTCCAAAACAATCCAATATCAAAGCCCGTAACAAAGACTCCTGAGGAAAAAATGATTGAAGAAATTTTACTTCTGATTTTCAAGGGAGCATTAATACATGTTTTTCTAGTAAAGCAGAAAAGCCAAATTATGCAGAGAATTCATTTTCCAATCCCCTGTCTGCCCCCTCACAACCCCCATTAGATAGTCACCTTCTGTCATTACACATATGGGTCTGTATACTTTACACTCAGCGGAGCCTCATCATTTAGCAAAGAGTTGTAAATGACTTTTTGATTCTTATATGAAAAACCCTGGGTGTGAATTCAGGTTGCCACCTGACCGTACTCTTCCTGTATTTTTAGTAACGTGCCCACACCTCGCTCAGTCTGGCTGCATTTTAGCACTCTGTATTCAAAGCTGTCATCAGAAGGCTGCACCCTATTGAAGCCTACTGTGGCTGTTTTCTTGTAAAATTCTTTATTAATATCTATTTCTTAATGTGACATGTACTGTTATTTTGACATGACTACCAAAGTGATAAGCAAGTCTTTTCCTGGGAAAACTTCCCAGGTTAAAAAAAAATCAGTGCATTTTACTTAATCTCTGTGGCACTCTATAGAACATAGTGCTCACTTCTTATCTTATTGTAAGGTCATTATTGCCACCCTAATTCCTCATATGGAGCAGGATGGTTTGTGCTAAAGCAAAGAGGAGACTTTCTCGGGAAAAGGCTATTTTTGAGAATTTCCCTTACGGATGATTCAAGTTCATAGAATGCTACAATTTCAGGGGCCTTAGCAGTAATCTAATTTAAAGAGTTACATTCATAAAGAAACCAAGTGAGGCCCGAAGGCTTGCTAAAGGACACACAGCTAGATAGGGAAGGAGTTAGAACTAGAACCAAGATCTCAAAATTTTGGGTCTAGTGCCTTTTCTATTGTACCATACTTTCTTTTTGTAAAAAATTATACAGTTGAATCTCAAATCTCATTAATTTGTGATAATTATGTTCTATAAAGTCACTAGGAACACTGAGCTACCAAACAACTGAATTATTGCTCCCAAGGGGAATACCAGCTTAGAGCCTTGCGAGCCCTCCAGGCAAAACATTTTTGTCAACCAGTTGACACATTACCTTGTTATATGTGTGTTTCTGTTTAAAGACATCTTATTTAATATATATTGTTGATTCATATTGAATTCATGACCAACAGCACCATAACTCACATCTGAACAAAGCTTCTCAAACTTATATATTCTCTCCATAAGGCATTTCCTAGCTTTCTTGTTCTTAGGAACATTAGACAGCACTTCAGCATTACTTGAAGAACATTTTAAATCACACACACAAAAAAAAAAAAAAAAAAAAAAAAAAAAAAAGCACATGTGGAACCAAGTAGATTGTGAAAAAAGACACTCGTTGATGGTATCAGAGCTGAAACAAGAAGGCAGAGTGTAGCCCTGTTCACCTCAGCTAGGAATATGCACTTTGGACAACTCAAATATTTTCCCACTCTGTTTTTGTCTATGAGTCACGGCAAAAGTTTCATGAGGTTTAATTTTGGGATTTCAAATAAATTTTAGTAAATAGGCAAATGTGTAAATATGGACGCTGAGAATAATGATGATCAACTGAATGTAGAAAAGGAGATTAACAAATATATGAATGGGAAAAATTATAGGTACAACAGAGGTATTGTGACAATATTAGCACCTCTTATTAAAGAAGTAAATAAGATGTTTTCTGTAAAGAATGCCTGTTTTTACAAAAACCTTTTCTACTCCTTATATTCTTCTCCAGGTATTTTCTTTGCTTCCTCGACAGCAAAACTTGTACTTGTCTCTGTTTTCTCACCTCCCTTTCCTCACCATGTCACTGAAAATATTTATGCTAGTTCCATCTTGCCTAAACCAGTGGCAGATTCTCATTTTTCATCTGACTTAACCTCTAAAAGCATTTAATCACCCCAGCCCTCTGAAACATCTTCGTCATTTGGTTTTCAATATAATACACTCTCCTAGTTTTCTCCTACTCCGTAGGCAATTCTCAATTTCCTTTGTCAATTTCCCTTCCCTGTAATCCATCTCTAAATATTAAAATTCCTTAGGGCTCAGTTTTTCTCTTTATTCTCTCTTCTCTCTCTCTCTAGTAGC